TATTATACACCAATGTTACTCAACGTCTTTATGGTGTTTGTCATGATCTTCTCAATGTTGTTGCTCCTCGACAATAGGACTCTATGAGTGATTACATGGCTAAAATTCTTGCTCTTTTTCATGAATTTAATGAATTATTGCCTTCTGCCTCTACTCTTGCCGAAGAAACAAATCAACGGTCAAAGTTCTTCATGCTACTAGCATTGCACGACCTTGCTGATGAGTATTCTCATATTCGTGATCAGATTTTGGGTTCACCTGTTGTTCCTACTTTGACTTCTATTTGTTTCACTCTTTTGTGTGTACCTAGTAAACTCATCAATGATACACATGTTTCCTCTATGTTGGCATCTCAACATCATGATCACAATCACTCTCGCAAATCGGGAAAAAGACGTCTTAAGTGTAACCATTGTGGCAAGCTAGGCCACACGATTGACAAGTGTTATGTATTACATGGTTGCCCTCTTAGATATGTTGCTATTGTTCAGACTGCTCCCCCCTCACAATCACCTACTAGGGATCCTCCTTCATCTAATATTATCGATGACTCTTTTATTTTCAGTAAATTTCTTAAATGGTATAAGGATCAATAACCTTCTAGTTCCAATGGATCTGTAGCACACACAGGTACATCTTTTGTTGGCCTGACTTCATCTTCTTCTCTTGGCTCTTGGGTTCTTGACTCAGGAGCCACACATCACATTACTTGTAACAAATCTTTGTTTTCCTCTTTATCCTTTTCGAATCATTTACCTTCTGTTACAAGGGCTAATGGATCTAGAGTTTTAGCTCATGATGTTGAACTGTTAATATTTTTTCGTTTTTATCCATCGATAATGGTCTTTATGTCCTTAGGTCTTCTTTTAACTTATTACCGTTAATAGTCTAACTCGTTCTCTTGATTGTAATATTTCTTTTAACAAAGATTTGTTTGTTTAGAGGACCGGAGATCGAGACAGGTAATTAGCACCGAATATGAGTCTCATGGTCTTTATCATCTTCGACCCTATACACATATTGGCGTAGTTATGGAGTCTCCATCTCTTCTTCATGCTGAGTTAGGTCAACTCAGTTTTACCAAAAAGCAACAGCTTGTTCCTAGCTTATCCAAGTTGTCCAATTTGGTATGTAAGTCGTGTCAATTAAGAAAACATATATGTAGTTCCTTTCCTCATAATGTCTCACAACGTGTTTCGTCCCCTTTTGCCTTACTTCATTCTGACATTTGGGGACCTAGTCGTGTTTTAAGTCTAATTTAGGTTTTCAATATTTTGTTACTTTTATTGATTATTATTCTAGATGTGTTATTTTTAATGAAAAAACGTTCTTATTTATTGTATCTTTTTCAAACCTTTTATAATGAAATTAAAACTCAGCTTCGTGTTTCTATTCAAAGTTTGCGCAGTGACAATGGTCATGAATACCTTTCTCATTCTTTTCAAATATTTATGACTTCTCATGATATTCCCCCATCAAACTTCATGTGCTTATACACCTCAACAAAATGGGGTGGCTAAGCGCAAAAATAAACATCTTATTGAAATAATGCATGCTCTTTTAATTCATGATAACATTCCTCAATATTTTTGGGATGATGCTATTCTTACTACATGTTATCTCATTAATCGCATGCCCTTTTTTTGTTTTAGATAATAAAATATCTCATTCTATCTTATTCCCTCATGAACCCCTTCACCCCTTACCTCTAAAAGTTTTTGGGTCTACATGTTTTGTTCATAATTTTAGTCCTGGTCTTGATAACTTAGCTCCTCATCACATAAATGTATTTTTTTAGGCTTTACTAAATCAAAGAAAGGATATAAGTGTTTTTCTCCTTCTATTAATCGCTATTTTATATCTGCAAATGTCACATTCGATGAGTTTTCCTTTTATTTTAACAATATTCTTCTTCTGATATGTCTCCTTCTAATACTATCAATATTCTTGTTGTTTGTGCTCCTCCAATTATGCCAAGTTCACCAGGTGTTTCTCAACAACCACTAAGTGACTCAATTCAAGTGTTAACTACCTTGTCTCCTTTGACTCTGACAACTGAGTCTAGCGTTCCAATTTCTCTCCAAAAAGGTATACGTTTTACTCGTAATCCCTCTCCACCTTATATTGCTTTAAGTTATCATAAATTGTCTTCACCTTTTTATACCCACCTTTCGTTTATTTCTTTTGTGACCATCTCTAAATCTATTATCGATGCCTTAGCCCATGCTGGTTGGCGCAGACCATACTAGATGAACTAAGTGCTCTTCAGAATATTGGGACTTGGGAGCTTGTCCCATTCCCGTCTATAAAATTTGTTGTTGGTTCCAGGTGGGTTTTTGTTATCAAAGTTGGTCCTGATGGAACTATTGACCGTCTCAAAGCTCGTCTTGTGGCTTATTTGTATTTTGGACTTAACCCATATATTCTTCTATTATAAATAGAGGACTCTATGTGTATATTCAATACAAGGGAGATTAATCTCATACATAGTTTTTACTATATTCAACAATATTTATATATGTTTAGTGTGTGTAATGTGTATGTGTGTGAACTTACTCGTATTTGGATTATCGTATGTATACATGAATAATAAATATGTATGATTTTAAAAATATATCTTTAATATATATTTTGTTTATGATATTAGAAATCATATATTTGTTAAAGATGAATTTGGAAGCATGCTAATATTAAAATTCGAGTTTCTGAACTATTAAGGTATAAATTGAATGAATGTTTTGGGATTGATTTTTCTTTATACTAGAATTTTGTGATCTTGGATCGAGTATTAGTTAAACGGTAATTCATTGCTTAAGAAAAATATAAATGATGTGTAATGATTATACTTATTATTGACTATCACTCGAGGAACAACTCATAAACGATATAATGGTTAGTTTCATGCAAGAGCTTATAATTTAAAAGAGAGAGGTTGACTCAACTCTCTTTCCTAAAAAAAAATTGTCACTCAAATGCTATATTGATCGTGATTTGTAGTACTTGTGTATGGATTATGGATTTCCTAAAATCATGCAAATCATGGTAAGATCCTCAAAAAATGATTATTTTGTCTCTCCAATGTTAGATAAATGATGAGTTAAGGTTCTAAAACTCGAAGAAATCCAACATGTGGATATCACTCAAACATTCATGGAAATTGGTATTCAAGTAACGAAGTTTTAATTATACTTTCAAGAGTATTTGCTCAAGCAATACAAGATCATTTAAACAATAACATTTTCTAGTTAATATTGACAAGGTTGTTCAAGCAACAAGTAACTATGGTGTTGATGTATGCGATTAATTATATATATGTTAACAAATATAATTAATAAATGATATGCATCATCACACACTTATATGAGTATATATATATATATATATATATATATATATANATATATATATATATATATATATATATATATATATAACATATATTATAGTATCTTTTATGATATATATTGTGGCATAACTATGATATGTAACCTTTTCATGGTGTTATGCTGGATATTTGGAACAATACTACGTCTTTAATGATGATACTAAGCACCTTGACTCATTAATTAAAAAAAAAAAAAATCCTAACTTCACTAATATGATAAGATATATTAAGATTGTAGATGGTGAAAAATTGAAGAAAGTGTTATTTATAAGGTTTGGGTAAATATAAACATAAATTAATTGGTTGGTTAATGAATATTATTTTCTCTCGAAACATTTAATACATGCGAGTCATTTGTAACAATTACATTATATATTGAGAATGTAAATGATGATTCTAACATTTTGTTAAACAATATTTTCATGAATATTATTTATTAGAGACGTTATTAAGAGGTGTCTTCATCTTAATGTAACTGTATTAGTTTAAATCCATAATTTATGATATTATGCATGTAATGAAATGTGATAAATCCATCATTAATATTATATATATAATAAATACACCTTAATATATATTTATATGTTATTTCATCATATTGCCTAAAAAATAGTTATAAAAGTATTGATGAAATATGAAAGAATGGAATGTGAAAAAAATATAATGAAAAGTGAAATTGTTTATATGAGGTGAATGATAATAGAAAAAAAAAATAGAGTGAAAAATCGTAAAAAAATTAGAGTTGATTTTAAAAAATAAAATAAATAATAATTAATTAATTTATATAATTACTATATTGGTTTTGCATCGAAAAACAAGTAAGTTTAAATATGAATATGTAAAATTGGACTTCATCTAAAATTGAGTCAAACCTAATAAATTAAAATTATGAAATAATCCATTATGGGAAATAATGCATGGCAAATGATAAGGTTCCATTTGAATATAGTTTAGTGAAAGGGAACTTCAAGTAATTTAACTAGAATGCTAACATCATAACACCATAACAGGTTTTGAACAGAAAAATTAATTAATATTCAAAATTCGTGTTATAATTTTTCGGAATATTTAATTTTCAAAGATAAAACCGTCACACGTGAGCTGCATGGAGCTATATAATATTATATATTAAACTTTAATCTATATTCATCATGTTGCATACATATTTAATAGAAATTTTTGATAGAAATTATGGTATTGTCATATCATATCAATTAATAAAATAATATAACCATATGATAAATTTTTATTGGATGCTTTGCACATCATATTCATTAAATTAATTTATGATCAGAATAAATTTTTTTCTGTGACACAAATGTATCTGCAATTATTTATATAAAAGAAAGTTTAAAATAATATTTTTTTTACTAAAAGAATCATACAGAAATATACTATTTTTATCACTTAAATTTTATTACTACTGAATAGTTAGAATACTCTAATTAATTTCAATTTTTTTATTAGAGGTTGATATTTTTTATTAAAACTTAAATTTATCTTAAATTTAAATTGATTAACAAATTATAATATATGGTTTATTTTTCAACTCCAATGAAGTTAAATTTAACTTAATTTCATTGCCTTAATACATTCTTAAATTTCTTAAGACTGAGAAAAAGAATGATTCGAGTGAGCATATTCTGAAAACCCACCCTTCAACGTTTTGACTATGTGGCAGGTATGTTTGTCTTACTCCCAGTCTCACCTAAATCCTTTCGCTCTTTCCTTTTTCTTTCCCTCTGTTTCATTTCATCTGTTTCTCTAATCTTTATTCACTGCTTCAATTCCCACTCCAACCAAATCCATCGAATGCTTTATTTTCCCTCCCAAAACAATTATTCAGTTCACGTTTTCTGTAAACTGAATTTGTTGGATTTTCCCAACTCTCCCAAACTGGGTACACTTGAAAACGGTTTATGAACTCTAATTCAACATGAAGTTCACATTTTTAGTTTATTCATGTGCATCTTCAATTTAACTATGTAGCTTTCGTCTTTGTTAATCTATGAAGGCATAGGGATAGTCTCACTCTAGCTTTCAGTATTCATTTTAGGAATGATATATAGAGTTGATTCTGTTGATCACTGCCTGATCAAACCCTAGTGGCATAGGTTTTAGTTTCTTGTTTGTTTTGAATGATTTTTATGTGAGGACTATTGTTTTGCCATGTAATGTTTGTGAATATGCATTAAACATAGCCATTGATGTCATTTGTATGAACTATCATATTTTTTAGGCGTATGAATTAATATTTTGCTGTGTAAGTTTTTGTAGATATGCATAAAACATAGGCATTGATGTCATTTTTGTGTGGGCTTCCTGTCATTGAGTGTGTTTATTGTCTGGCCTGTGCTCGTTGGGCATGGAAAAAATGTCTGTACAGTGCAGGCTATGAGAGTGAAAATTGGGGGCTGGCTACTGCACAAGAATTTGAGCCTGTTCCTCGGATCTGTCGGCTAATCTTAGCCGTCTACGAAGATGATATTCGTAACCCTCAATGGGCTCCCGAAGGAGGTTATGGCATTAATCCTGATTGGGTTATCTTACGGAAGGACTACGGCGATAACCAAGGCCGTGTTACACCATACATGATATACCTTGATCATGATCATGCTGAAATCATACTAGCTGTTAGTGGACTCAATTTAGCAAAGGAAAGTGATTATGTTGTTTTGCTTGATAATAAGCTGGGACAGGCTGAATTTCATGGTGGTTATGTTCATAATGGGTTATTGAAGGCAGCTGGATGGGTTTTTGACGCAGAATATGAGGTTCTTAGGAAGCTAGTGGCAGAAAATCCAACTTATATGTTAATATTTACAGGGCATTCTCTAGGGGCTGGGGTGGTGGCATTGTTGACAATGCTAGCAGTTCATAATCGAGACAAATTGGGTATACCGAGAAACAAGATAAGATGCTTTGCAATAGCTTCTCCTCGGTGTATGTCTCTCAACTTGGCTGTAAGATATGCAGATGTGATCAATTCTGTTGTACTCCAGGTTGGACAGTCTCCTTTTGATATGAACTTAGTACAACAACTTGACTGATTTACTTATTGTAGTCTTGTTTAAAAGGACAAAATTGTTTGTTAATCTTTATCAAGATATCATATGCATGAAATCTGCATATTCATTTAGGTTGTGAGTGAAGCCTCTGAATTCTTATTTGTACACATCATTGAAGGGAGGATCATCTGAAAAAACAAGATGATTTCTTTCTGGTATTAAGTGTGGTAGAAGTAAACATGCTTCTCTTAGTGATGTAGTAACATAAGGGTCTACTTAGATTTCTTTCTGGTATTAAGTGTTGATGGATTTTATAATACATCTATATTTACATGTCTAACAATTAGTAAATGTTCCTTGAATTGGTGTTGTGAATTTATTTCATTTTTGGAAAATATATTTGTATAACTAGATCCTAGATAATTGATGAGCTTGTATTAATTGTTCGGATGAACATACTCTGTCAACGTGATATGCTGATTTCAAATGATTAAAGCAGTAACGATTTGCACTGTTGAAATTTGAGAATCAATACTCATACAATTTGTTAAGCAGATTTTGTTTTAGAGAAAAAAAAAAGAAAATGGATTTGCATCCAGAAAAATATAGCGATTGATGAAATAATGCTTTGAGAAATTTCAACAATTAGATGAATGTGTGCTCCACAGAATTAATGTAATAATTGTTTTCCCGACGGGATATTTATTCAATTATTATTTTTTTTTATCAGTTCATTAGGTCTATGCACTAATTTTCTATGCTTTACTTTGACAAACTAGGATGATTTTTTACCTCGGACGACCGCTGCTTTGGAAGATGTCTTCAAATCACTTTTATGGTAAAACATCTTCATATTTTCCTCCTTCCCCTTCCTCCTTACATTGTGTTAGGATTGAGAATTTCACAAATTCAAGGAAATTAAAATACATTGAATTTGAATTACTTTTAATTCAAATTTCTTCATTTTTTCAAATGTTTGATTAGAGTATTTTAATTTGTTGAATAAAAAAAATTCAAATTTGTTGAATTTTATTTTTGTTTGATTAGAGTATTTTAATTATCACCAAATACAAAATTTTATTCAAATGTTTTTTTGTCAATGTTGGTCACATATGTGACATTGGTCAAAGTGATCTTTTTGTTCTGGTTGGTTGAAGTTATTTGTTGACCAACTTTTTGATTGCTATTGGTTGAAAATAGTCCTACTTAAGATTGACCAAAAGTTTCCTAAATCTACACAAGAAAAAATTCTGACTGATTTTGGGCAATAAATAACACTAGTGTCATTGATAGAAAAACAACTCTTGTTGGCATCAATCAAATAATAATACCAATAAACATCAACTAAAAAAAACTAGTTGACATCAACTGAAAAACAGTCTCCCCAATGTTGGCCGAGAAAATGCTGATCAACTTTGATTGAGAACTAAATTTGGCTCGTGCCATTGGAAAAGTAATCCTAACAATGTCAACAAAAAATACCCATCAATTGAAAAACTTTAACTTACATTGGCAAAAGGATAATTTTCTTGGTTAATGTCAACTAAGAGATGCTGATAAACAACTATCATATCCACTGAGAATGGCTCCATTTAATGTGATGAGAAAATGAATGGAGGGGCCATTTTCATATTCAGTTTGGGGATGAATATTGATGTTACACTCAAGAAAGATAAGAAGGGGAGTGATAAATCTTAAGGTTGATTGCTGCAAATTTGATTGCTGCAAATTTGATTGCTGCAAATTACTCTTATAAGACCCATACTTGGGTTTTTATTACTCATAACTCCATAAAGTTCTCACAAAGAATAAACTTAATTTTCTTTTAAAATTGATACATCTCCCATTACATTACAACACATGTTTTTATAGGCTAAACTATGTGTCACTCTTGACAACCATAATAAGGTCTGCCAAATTCCACCTTAATTTCCACTAAGTAGTCTTTATTCTTCATTAGCAATTAAGTCCCACTAGTGTTGTCTTTAATTCCCACTATATGTGTCACTATTTCCTACCATGAGAAAATGATGCTTTACCTTCTCTTGTGGTTTTCAGTCTTCCATTGTGACAATTAAGCCTAATTAAAAACTATAATAAAAATTACAAAGAAAACTCAATTATGTTGACCTCCTCCACATCGTATCATAACATTAGTGAAAAAAGTTGTTTGACATTTGTCAAAAGACATCGTCAGTGTGGACCAAGAAAATCCTAGTTAACATCGTTTAAGAAATAACATTAGCTTATAAGAAAATCCTAGTTAACATTGTTTAAGAAATAACATTAGCTTACAATGGTGAAAAATAACTTCGGCAATGTTGTCTGAAAAACGATCCCAATCAACATCTGCCTTAAAGAAACCCACTTGACATTTGCCACAAAATCAAGGTCGAGTTGAGGATGCATTGAGTGAGGCTGAGTGAACGACATTCTAGTTGAGGATAAGCTGACTATGCCCCAACCTCAAATGGAGTCGAGTTTGTTAGAATTATTGGACTGAGATCAAGAGGGGTGTGTGAATTGAACTATCACCAATTTTTGGAGAGAAAGATCAAATGCTTTATCAAATTTATTAAACAAGAAAGCAGCAGACAAAAATTAATGTATATGATTGATTGCAAAAGAACAAGACAATTTACAATTTTCAAGTATAGAAGATAGAGAGAGAAAAGAAAAACGAGATTTATACTTATTCACACAATAATCATAGCTACAAACAATTGTTCTGCCACTCCAGCCAAACTTATCCTCTAAACTTTTTAGTTTTGCAAGCACTTTAAAAACAAGAAAGAAACCCCAAGAACTGTTGTCTTGAACTCTACAAGACTTTATAGTTCATCCTCTGGTGATACCCTATCACAAGAACAACTTGGAAACCTATCCAAGTTCGTAACCTTACCAGAAAAACAATTCAATATCACCTAAAAAAGTTTAAGAACAGAAGAAAAACTACGAAGTCAGGTGATCACTCAAATGTTCTTCTGGTGCCAAGGTATTTATCACAAAATTCAAGAAAGATGTCTCCAAGAAGAATTGTATTACTCAAGTCTCTGTCTCTCTCGGTAGACAAAGTGTTTTCAGAAAGAATGCAATTGATTTTGAAATGAGGGAGATATAAAAATTTGAGAACCTGATAGTTTTAATCGATTGAAACACAGCTTAGAAGCCTCTCAGGGTTTTAAAATGTTAAAACAACATTTTAATGTTAAAATTACATAAATTTAATTGATTAATTTATCATTTTAATCAATTAGAACAGAAGGGGTTTGAAATGACTTGAGACGTAAGTGCTTTTAATTGATTAAAACTTATTTTAATTGATTACAACAGAGCCAAATGTTCAACTTTGGGTTTTAAGCAAGTTTAATAGATTAACTCATAATTTTAATTTATTGAAATGCTATTTGAAGCTGATCGAGTAAACCTAAGAACATTTTAATAGATTAAAAACTCATTTTAATGGATTAAAACTTAACTGCAAACCACAAAGGGCTCCATACTCCTTCTAAAAGCTTTCTTACTTGAAATATGAACAAATCAAGGCATAAAAAGAACTTACAACAAAATTTAAGCTTGAAACAATTATGTGAGGCACACTACAACCATCCTTGACGTGAGATCTTCATCACTCTAAAACCTTCACTCTCTCTGTCCTTGCATATGTCTTGATCAGCTAACAATATTGGTTGGAATCATCAAATACTTTGCATGTAGCACACATATCATTAGAGTTAGGTGGAAGTATGAAGAGAATAGACACAAATGTGAGACACGAGATAATATAAGAAATTCAAACTTTTAAATTTTATGTCGAATTTAAAATTCTATAATTTTAAGTAGTTAAATTACTCTCATAAATTTCTAGAATTTCTATTTCTTTTAAATTTCTTTACCAAGACAACATATTTTGTCATTGAGTATTTCAAATTCTCCAAAAAAGTGAATTAACCTTCTAAAAATCTCCATCCAAGCACACCTTTAGGGTATCTAGATTGTCCTGATGTTTATTTAAGACATCAAAGACTAATTTCACGAAGTCAGCAGGGCTAACAGTTTGGAGAGATTCGAATGTGCTTACGGTTGTGGAATAATTGAAAGTTAAAATTATTTATTCAAATCAGAAATCAAACACCTTGTCTCCTACTTTTTTCGGTTTCCATTATTTGCAAGTTTGATAGAGGAAGAATCTTTTCGTAGGATAAGTTAGGGGAATACCTTTTTGTGAGAGACACAAAACCATTCTTTGCCTACACCTTATAGCTTAAATTCATGGGGAAAGTTGAGATGGTTTCAGAAACAAGAATGCATAATCAAACTGAATTTCAGCACAAGATATATGGTGCCCACGCTTCATTTGTGCTTCAAGCTGAAAGGCTTATGTGTATAAGGGGGACATGCTAGAGACAGAACTCATACTTGGACTTAACTCTGGCTGGTTTAAGCTCTTTAGAAGTTAGTCCTTAACATGTTAAAACCTCTACTAGTAACTACCTGCTTTTTCAAGATTTTCACTTGTTGACTATCTTTAAGTTACCTATTGATCATCAGCTGAACACTTCTCTTGGAGGAAAAACAGTTTTTTCTTCCTGAATTTGTGTCTGATTCCAACTTGGGATATTTATGTTCTCAATGAATTCTCTGCTCCTGTAATGTATTTATTTAGAGCTTTTGGGACATCTTGTATGAAGCATATGATATAATAAATTCATAATACTGACCAGAACAGTATGAGCTTTTCAATTTTTCATGCATATGCATTGGATTAGTACAGTGAATCTCTTGCTGTTAAAATGGTTTACAGTGGGTGTTATCCGTTCTTGGCAGTTGGCCCTGCTTATTGTGTATAATGTGCTTAAAGGATACCTGCACATTGGAGGAGAAGAAGCTCAGAGATCCAAGGCGTCTATATGCACCTGGTCGGCTCTATCACATTGTGGAGCGAAAACCATTTAGGTTAAGTATAATACTCTCAAATTTTACTTAACATTTATTTATCTCAGCTGTGGCATCTTATTGAGCTCCCTCTAATTAAATGAAGACTTCTCTCTGGCCTTACTATGGTCACTATGCAAACTAAAATCATGCATTTAACAAAAATGTATCCTATACTCTTCATTTTGAACATTATGCAACTTAGTAGTGAGTGAACTAATTTTGGTGGAATATAAGGGAATTGATTTTATCCTTTAAATTCTATTGAGGCATATTGTAATTGGAAAAAAAGAAAAACTGAATAACATTCTTATGTATTGTTCTTTAAGAAAGATACAAGAGTTTATATATAGTAAAATAATAACTAAACAGACTATATCTGCATAATTGAATGCCATATGCATGGGGTTTTCCCTGAAAGGTTTTACACAGCTGCAAGCAAATTTACCTTATTTTTATTTTGTTCACCGATAAACCATGTGACTTTTGTGCAAATTGGTATTAAAATATTAAGAACTACCAGTAAGTGTCAAGCCCTAGAAGTTTATAAGGACCTACTCCAATAGAATGCCAGCTCAAACATGAAGAAGCTAGGACATTGGATATAGTAACGCATGTGTTCCCTCTGATTGAATTGAGAAGCAGGTCTTTATGCATTAAACCTTCTCTCATCCTAATTTCCCTATGATTTTTCTCTCATTCCTAGAGAGTTGGACATAATATAATATAAATGTATATTGCTAAGGTATTCACAACATTCTACAAAAATTACAAAATCTTGCAACTTTGTGTAAGGTTGTACATGTGTGCAAGATAACAAAAGTTTCACTTTATAATTTTCATTGAGAGATATCAACAAAATGTTATAAATGTCCTGTCAGTACTCAAGATTCAATACAGTTATTCTGTGTGCACATGTGAGTGTGCCCGCCCATGCTAATATCTCATGTTTGTGGAATATGATTTATTGCATTTGACATTTGAGTCTTCCAAAGTATGACTCATGGTTTCATATCTGAATTTACGGTTAAAATGTTCTTTTAATATACTTTTATGTATGCTTAAAGGATAAAGTGATCAAATTAGAAGAGCAGAATGTTATTTGTATGCAGTAATAATTAGGATTATAGTCTCTTCTGGTTGCAGAATGGGAAGATTTCCACCTGTTGTTAGGACAGCAGTACCTGTTGATGGGAGGTTTGAGCATTTAGTTCTTTCTTGCAATGCAACTTCTGATCATGCCATCATTTGGATAGAGAGAGAATCCCGACGGGCACTCAGTGTAAGCAATAAGATTTTTTCAATAATAGCAGAGTTGTCTGCAACTTGTGCTTTAATGATATTCCAAAACCTGGTTTATATTCAATGATTCATCATAGCAGTGCAACTTTTTCTTAAAAGGTGATTCCAGTCCTACTTGTGATGCTTAAGCACTCATGATATTGGGTGAGTTTGTTTGTGCTTTTTTACTTAAAAAGTTTTTGTGGGAAATCAAATAGTATTTTAGGAAAGAATAAATTAGGAAATTTGTGTATTTCATAACAAGTATATATTTTATTGTAATCGGTACAGATTTGAATAAATAGGGACAATCCCATAAATCAAGGGATTCTAGAATAGAATATAGTTATTATATTTCCTAAAATAGCTTAGGTCTCCCGTATATATCTTGTATGATCTCTTTGTAATAAACATATCAATTTCCATTTAACCTAATTTCCAGATGGTATCAGAGCTTCCGATCTAGGAAGATCTGTCTGCGCATTGTAAACCCTAAGACGGCAGCCTGCATTGCTGCTGCATTTTTCTTAACCCTAAGACGGCAGCCTGCATTGCTGCTGCATCTCTCTTAACCCTAAGACGGCAGCCTGCATTGCTGTTGCATCTTTTCCTATATTCATT